AATGATAATCAATGATATAATAATAAAATCAAAATATAAAAGATAAATTTAATATTAATATAAAACAAAAGAGAATAAATATAAAATGAAAATAGATATAAATGATAATAATATAAAAATGATAAGAATATAAAAATGATAAAGATGAATATTCAAATAATAAAATACATTTAAATATAAAAGAATAACAATAAGAAAATCTAAAGAATATAAACATAAAAATAATCATAAAATAAGAAAAATAAAATAATATATAGATAATAAGAAGAATACAATGATATAAATAATATAAACAGAGAAATAAATATATAAAAATACGATAGATAAATAACATATAAATAAAAGAATAAAAAGAATAAAAATAAATATGAATAATCAAATCATTTATTTCATTAATATTTCATACAAAATAGAAATGAATATAAAATATAAACATAAATATTTATATATTCTGTATTTATCATACTTTTTATTTTTTATTTATTTTTATTTTAGGAGCAAAATATAATAAAGTGGAATATTCTATGGATGCAAATTTTTTTACATCTTTTTTCTTTTTTGTAAATTATTTAGATGCATTTTTTCTTTGCTAATTTTCGTACCCTCACATGTTCATTCTATCAATTTAATTGTTTTATCATCACTTGGATATTTTGGACCTTCACTTCATTTTTCTTTATTTCTCTTCAATTCTCTAATAGTCATTTATCTTGATTCATTCTTTTCTATACTCAACTATATTCTCTCTTCATATTGATTAATTATTCTATCTGTTTAATTTCTTTTCTTATTAATAATACTTTTCAATGTAAGATTTAATTCTCATTATTCTTTTAACTATGGTGTAATTTTTGTTAATTAATAATTCCTTTATTTTATTGGAATTTCTTCTTAGACTTTGAATTTCACTATTTCTTTATCTCATATATTTATTTTCTTGTTATAGAGAGATACAATGTGTTATTTTATATACTTCTTTTTGAATATCTTCTATATTTTTACTTTCTTCATTTATATAATTAATTATTTCATTATATTTTTTAATGAAGTAACAATTAACATATGTTGTTTTATTTATTTCTTGTTCTTCTTCTATACTTGCTTCTTCTTTGTTTCCATACTTGATTCTTCTTTTCACTTTATTTTTGTCTTTTCTGGTAATATTTTTTATTCTTATATATTTTTCCTTTGTTTTTATTATTATCATAATATTATTGATTAGACACTATACCTGTATTATTGTATTTATGTTTATAACAATTATTGTTTATTATAAATGTGTTTAATTGAGAATTGATTATGGCGGTTATAAATATAATAAAATGTCATAATATGACGATAGTTATAATTTTATGATTATTGTTATAACCATAACAATATCAGATAAGTCTGTTTGTTTGTGTAAATTATTTCAATATAATTATCATTGTATGTTGTATTTTAGAAATATGTCTTATGATAAGAAAAAAAGAAAAGAAGAAACAAAATAAGAAAAAAGAGTTTTAAGAATTAGAGAAAAGGAAAAAAAAGAATAACAAAAATGGACTAAAAATTAGAAATAAGAAAATAAATGGAATGTGTGAAACGGTTCAACAATTATATTTACCACACATATCCACAAGTGTATTTTAATACATTAGACCATTGTTATTATCAATTTGTTGAAGTTAAAAAAGAAGAGTTTAATAAAGAAAGAATAGAAATAATAGAAAAATGTAATTCACCATATCTAAGATGTTATATGAATGAAAGTAATAAAGAAATCATTTCAATAAGATTTTCATTAATTAAAGCAAAACAAAGTATTAAAGAATTTTGTGAAGAAACAAAAGTTAATGGAGAAATTATATGTAAAATATTTCTAGAATTAATTGATGCAATAGTGATACTTCATAAAAATGGGAGTTTTCATGGGAATTTAAATGAAGAAACAATATTTATTGATAATAAAGAATATAACATATCAATAGGATCAATAGGATGTTTAAATGGAGAATATAAAAAAGAGGAAATGATGAAAAAAGATTATGAAGATATTGGAATTGTAATGATAAAAATTATAAGTAAAGAATTTGAAAGAAAAAAAGGAGAAGAAATAATAAAAGAAATAAAAGAAAAAAAGAAAGAAAGGATAGAAATGGGTTACAAAAAATAGTAATGAATTATTTACTAGTTTTTTTATGACG